AGTTCAGAATAAGGAGAGATGGGTTTAATCTGCATTGCAGAGCCGACCCTCATAGGTGCAATAAAACAAATGCAGGCATTTGTGTTGACTACAACTTTAAAGGCAGGAAACAACAGGATCGCTGGTTAAGGTACAGATTGGAAAGCAAAAGTAAACGAGCGATCAACTTCTGGGATAGGGGCAGGGAGCTTCATTGCAGAAACCGTGAGAGAATGGTGTTTCAACTGGTTTAGTTGATCTATTTGCAGCATGCTGATTCATTCGTGGCATTTATGAATAAGTGAGTGCATTTTAATTCAGAAAGAACATATAGTTAACACTGCAGGTTTCATTGTGTGCACTTGGTTTGGAATTGTCGTGTTCCTGTTTCTGTTGAGAGGAGTGGTGATTTATTATAATTATGTCACCCGTTTTGTTTTCTTTTGCAATGTTTGTGTTTACTTTGTGTTTTTGACCAAAATGTCGTGATGTCATATGAAAAAAACTCATCATTTCTTTAAGGCTCAGTAGACATTGTAATGGTATCATGATGTTTTGGCCACTCTGTATTTAAATCTTCAAGCTCTACTATCTTAAATGTAATCCTAAACGATTATAATTATTTAAGAATCTTACCTAGAAACCCCTGCATGCGAGAATGCACAGAATTAAAGGAAATATGATCCCTATAACCTCAACAGCAGAATGGATCCACTGTTAGAAAATGGAAAGCAAAAGGTGTCAATATGTCTCAAATGCCTCGCAATGTCACAAATTCTCGTCTGTGCATTATGCCTGTGTTTCAATGTGTTTCAATGACATTTATGGAAACGAACAATGACTTTCAAGTCACTTAAAATAAATGTGTTCTTCGTAAAGTTCTTCCCCGTGGCATACATATCTTTAATTGGTTTTAGCCTTTACTTAGGCTCTTGCATATTGCTTTGCTAGGAACAGCCATCTGAAGAGACTTGTCCCCTATTCTTTCTGGGTTCCCATTCATAAGTGCCAAAGATAACATCTGCTCCGCAGATATAATTCGTTCTCTGGCTTTCTGAAAATACAAAAAAAAACAAGTATTGTGCTTGTTAGTTTACCATTCGGATTCAAAAAAAATCCTTTTCTGTCCTGTTTAGAAAGTCAATGTGCGAAACGCGTTGCCATCTTTGGTTTGCAGTCCTGTTTGTTTAGTGGGGGTTTTAAGGGTAGACAGTCAGATTTGGAAGACTGTGCTCTACCCCTTCCTTGTAAGGCCAACCCGAACATCAGCATATAAGTCGATCAGTATCTAATGGATACTGTCTGCTCTTCTCTGTGCCGCTCTTAACAAAAGTTAAGATTTTTTTCAATATCCCCTACTTTGACCTACAGAACATAAACGCATATTCTAGTTTTACATTCAGTGACACCGCCATCTCATAAACGGTCAAAAAAAAATGAGTCTTGCACATTGACGTTGTTGGATAAAACGCCAGATGCCTTAATAAAAAGTGAGATGAACCAAGCAGTTTGTTTAAAATCTGTTCAATTATAAATGGCTATTTTCTCTCCCTCTCTCTCTCTCTCTCTCTCTATATATATATATATAGGGACTCCAATATTGTGTGCATTTAGAGCACAGGGTGATCGTATTTCACTGTATTCCGTCATGCGTGTGGTTCACGTGAAGGAATTCAGTGCGAGTGGGTCATTCTCCTATTACTGAGAACGTGTGTTGCTGAAAAAAAAGCCCATGTTAAACGTGTTAACTTGCCATTCAGGCTCAGCAACTCCAAGAAAAACCGTGGAAACAGGAGGCAATGTAATAACAGGTAAGAAGCAGCTAACCCCCCCCCCCCACCCCAAACACAACCACCACCACCACCCCCATCCCCAGAATTGAAACTGTGATACGGTAAAACAAGTTGAAACTCCATGGCCTGCAGCTGGCTTCACAAAGCTTTTGCGATGTGTGTGTATGTGTGTGTGTGTGTTTTTGCAGTTAACCCGTGCTGATTCGGTGTGTGCTCTGTTCTGCCCCCAGACCTCTGTGTGGTTCACACATCTTGAGCTGCAATGCACCGAACCCGACTGCTGCTTTCTGCCTCACGAGAAAGTTTGACTCGTGTGAGTGAAGGTGCAGTGGGTTACTTACTAAAAACTAAAAGCCTCCAAAAATTCCAACCTGTTGCAAATATCACTTACCGACTGTGGTTCGCACGTGCACAAAGTAGGACATTTGACAGGGAAGGGTACATTGGCTAAGCACAAAATGTTAAAAGAAACTGTGCAATAGGCATTTTGAAATATTTGGGTTGCGATGTTAAATTGACGTGAGAAAGCGTTTAATCTTGTGTGACACAACGCTTATCTAATTATAGGAATTCAAATGCTGGTTGTTTGCAGTAAACGGTGCTCGACCTTTTTACTTTATTCCCCGTCACTGTACGACTGCAATTCACAGCTAACTGTGCGTCAAAGCTGCTGATGGTGAGTTGAACTGTTCATGTCTTTCAACGGGGATCCTTGTAAAGAAGGGATGTTCTCGTGGGTTCATTATCAGTAGAATTTGGACAGTGAAGGATAGGACTAAGCCGCAATGAGCAAAATACAATCCCCAACAGCTAAATACAGTAGTTCAGTTTCCTCATCCGATGACACTGAATTAAGCTTCACCTCACTCACTCATCACGTCAACATTGATTCTACTTTTAAAACCACAGCTTCCATATTTGTTTATTTTGGGGATTATTTGAAATGATAGCTTCCTGGCCATATTAAATGCAGTTTTTTTTTTAAAAAAAAAGGTATTACATTAACACAGAGAAAGACTGATTTATTGCAGTCCTGGACACAACGTGAACAAGTGAGGGAAGACTGATCAGCCACTGCACCAAACCGTGTTGACAAACAGCACCGTAAACACTAACCTACTGAAGTGCAGAAGGTATTGAAATTGATATCCTCCTGCCTGTCCAGGCTGCAGCTGAGGACATCTCGCCTCCTGATTATTTCCGTCCTACAGTCCTCCCGACGCACACATGTCAGTCGGTGGACGAGATGTGATTAACCGTACAATGTATTTATTTACTGCTTCGTGCCTTTTCACTCCCTGGAGTGTGTCACTGTTCACGTCCCAGTGGTTCCTCATTTCTCAAGGAACTCATCAACCGGCAGTGAGGATATTTGCAGCCCAAACAGCAGTCAGTGCTTATTGACGTTAAGCAATTGATCGCCAAAAAAAAAAAACACGTATCAGCAGGAAAGGGAAAGGTAATTGCAATAAAGTTACGTGAAGCAGCCATGTGGCTGTTGAGCATTGGGGTGTTTTGGTTTGTTTCTTCGGTAGAATGGCAAGGAATAGAGTCGGGTCCATCCACTGCCACTCACCGGGAGATAAAAGACAAGTGCGATTTTTTTTTTGGGGGGGTGGGGGGTGGGGGCTGGGTGGAGGGGGTGTGGGGGGAGAAGATTCCAGGTCACAGTATCCGTCGTGGAAATACCTCATAGACAGAGGCAACATACCGATATGGGTGGTCGGCAAAAAGGGGACTCGTTACCCACCTCTCCCCCCCCACATCTCTCCCCCCCATCTCTCCCCCCCCCCCCCCCCCACCCCCCGAAAAGAAATCGCAGCGCCTCCGGGATTTGTTTGGTAAAGTAGAGAACTGCAAAACACCAAAGACTTTCTGTGTTGCTGATAAATCCGTCTCAGACACTGATAAATCTCCCTTACAGTCTGCTACTCGAACCGAGTCAGTCAGATCAACCTGCGAGTTACTGTGCTATGATTTATACACTCGGGTCAGGTCCAAACTACCATGTGATCTGATCCACATCAATGCAAACCGGATTTGCTGGTTCTTTCGCAGGTCTGAAACCTTTCGTTATCTCTTCAGACACTGAGGACAAAGTTCCTCCGAATCTGCATTCCTCTATTTATCGTTATTTAGTCTGACACCACTCAACTCTACACCAGAAAACATACGATGGGCGAAATGTCACATTGCACAGTGTTGTGTTGTAAGTGTGTTGCGCTTTTCCAATACGACGTGTGGGTCCTTCTTACAATAAAATGGTGAATCTTCAATTTGCTCTTTTTTTTCTCTCTCTCTCTCTCTCTCTCCCCCACTTTGACTATTTCAATTAGTCGTCCAAACCGAAGTCTCTTCTGGGTGCGATGTTCCTTCCCTTTCAGTTCACAAAAAGCACTGCTCTTGTGTGTGTGTGTGTGTGTGGGTGTGTGTGTGTGGGTGGGTGGTGGTGGTGTGTGTCGGTGGGGGGGGAGTGTAAATGAGGAACAATTCATCCAAGGACATTGTGATGAAACGAACACCTGAAGTTCTAAAAATAAAACAACGTCCCATTATTTTTTTTTAGATTGTCATCGGGACGATTTCATGGCTGTGTGGAGTGTGTCCCCTTTTTTTTTTTTGGCGCTGTTGCATTCTGTTTGAGCCTGGCTGGAAGTTGGGAGGAGTGGCAATGGGAATGAAGCAAACGGAAACGAGATGCGGGGCTCCAATGGGAGGACTGGTGCCTCCACCACATAGGCTGAGAGATTCGCGAATAGGGAGGACACATTTCTCTCTCCATTGCAAGAGGACGAAAAGGGCACGGCGTAAAGTGATAGAGGCACACAACTTGGTCCGCACAATCTCGGGAACATTACCCCCCTCACCCTACTATTTATTGCCTTTGCACTGGCCAAACTGAACACGAACTTGAACGAGACTTTGGACCGAGCGCACGCACACACACACACCACACACACATACATACACAGAGAGAGAGAGATCTGTTGAGGGTAACGTAACATAACAAAGGGACCCCGCACTGAACCACCAGAGCTGAATAGCTCCCAGTTATTTCTTGATGAGACACCGGCACTGAACTTGCAAACGAGAGAGAAGAAAGAAAGAAAGAAAGAAAGAAAGAAAGAAAAAAAAAAAAAAAAAAAAAAAAAAAAAAAAAAAAAAAAAAAAAAAAAAAAAAAAAAAAAAAAAAAAAAAAGAAAGAAAGAAAGAAAGAAAGAAAGAGAGAAAGAAAGAAAGAAAGAAAGAGAGAAAGAAAGAGAGAAAGAAAGGACTTGGGTCTAGGGATGGCCTCTTACCAGCAACCTGAAGATGATACCATGGTTCTCATAACTGACAACACCACCACTACCAGCACCCCCATAGCCAGCTCCAGAGAGATCGACCGAGACAAGAGCGATTCACCCCCGGACAAAGCTGCGGAGAAACCTGATCCTTCTCAAAAGCCGCCCTATTCCTATGTGGCCCTCATCGCGATGGCTATCCGAGAGAGTCCCGAGAAACGTCTCACTCTGTCGGGTATCTACCAGTACATCATCACCAAGTTCCCTTTCTACGAGAAGAACAAGAAAGGTTGGCAAAACAGCATCCGGCACAACTTGAGCCTCAACGAGTGTTTTATCAAAGTGCCCAGGGAAGGAGGAGGGGAGAGAAAGGGCAATTATTGGACACTGGACCCGGCTTGCGAAGATATGTTTGAGAAGGGCAACTACAGAAGAAGGAGACGGATGAAGCGTCCTTTCAGACCCCCTCCCAGCCATTTCCAACATGGTAAGACGGCTATATTCGCCAGTGACAGCTATGGCTATATCGGTCCTCCCAAGTATTTGCAGTCAACATTCATGAACAATTCGTGGTCTCTTGCACAGCCGCCTGCGCCCATGTCTTACGCCTCCTGCCAAATGACCGGTGGCAACGTGAGCCCTGTCAGTGTCAAGGGACTCACGGGGCACGCTTCCTACAACCCTTATTCCCGAGTGCAGAGCATGGCTCTGCCCAGCATGGTGAACTCCTACAACGGCATGAGCCACCATCACCACCCCCATGCTCAGCAGCTGAGTCCGGCTCCACCGCCTTCTTCCAGCAATGGAGCCGGTCTGCAGTTCTCATGTGCCAGGCAGCCAACAGATCTTTCCATGATGCACTGTTCATATTGGGACCACGACAGCAAACACAGCGCGTTACACACAAGGATAGACATTTAAACGTAAACGCCAACCGAGATCCTATCGAATAATTGAAACCAACCAACCTGCATCCCCCGATCCACCACCATCCCCAGCACCCCCACCCACCCCCACTCCCTCCCTCCACCACCAACCCCCCCCCAAACTCATCCACCTTCCCTTTAAACTGTGCCAAAAAAAAAATACAGTGGGGAGCTCCACTGTAAGTGTTTTGGACTTTTATCTTTGAAACACGAGAAAAAAATTGAGATATCCAGCTGGGAAATGAACTCTGTTTTATGTATTTTAACTACGTGTTACGTATAAGTAAGAGCCTTTGTGGATTTATTGTTATTTTTTATTTGATGTCTGACCAAGATGTGGTCCAAAATAATATGTTCCCTGATTTTTTTTTCTGTCTTCTACTAAGTTTTTTTTAAATGTGTGATCCACTAAAAATCGCTAGGATTTGCAGCACTCACCTTGTTCCACTTAGAAGTTAAAAATTGACACAGATTTTTATTTTAACAAATTTAGCCTGTTGTTTTTTTTTAATGAAAAAAAAACAGACTGTTGAAGCTCTTGTGAAAAAAAAAGAATTGCATCTCGGTAGCTCCGCGCTCTCTGCAGTTTGGGACCAATTCAAATGTATAGCACTTTCCTACTTGTACTTTCTAGATTTGTAATACTCTTAATAAACTCCTCTGTTTTCCAATTTCGCTGTTTAAAGTGGTCGATTTGTCAAGTACAGTATCCTTTTATTCGGTAACTGAAATCTCTCGCCTTTATTATTTTCCAGTTAGTATCTGAATGATTTGCCTCTGATTATTATTGTGCGGTTGTCTCCTTTCTGCCCCAAGTAAAGCACAAACTCGAAACTGGGATCAAATGTTCAGGCAAAGCAATTTTGTTTGGCAAACTTTAGCTCGTGTGATTGAAGTTGAATTACAGTCTATAGAGTTCGTGATGCTCTGTGTGTATGTGTGTGTGTGTATTTGTGCGTTGTTTATGGTGTTTGGATGTGCCATTAGTGGAAACAAAATATGTGTAATTTAATGCGGTTCCGAATGCTATTTGTATACTCCAAAGAAAACTGCTTTCGATTACGTTTATTAAAGTGCAGTCGTTTGAAACTGTTTTGAGGATTATTGCAATTTAGAAATATACGCTCACGTTCTCTGGATGTGCTTTGCGCGTGAAATACATCACCGTGCAGTTAGATAGAGTTTCTCCTGTCTGAATTACCTTAACCCTAATGAAAATTGCCATTTGTAAATATATATATATATAGTTCCACGGAAACTGCTCACAACTTTGCAATGTCTCTGGTCTGGGATTGCGATTGGGAGGTGACTTTGTGATCTCTATATTTAAAGGTGAGAAGATAATATTGCAGGAGATTTTCAGAAATGTATTTTTTTATTTGGTAAATCGGACAGATGGATAATGAAACCTATATCTTTTGTCAAAGGGGATTTTATTGGTAAATTCCATTGCAGGATTTTTTTTTAAAAAATAACTAATCCCTTGGATAGTTGTGATAGTAACGTTTAATGAACGGTCCAAGTCACTTTCGATTTGATAACAACCATTTGGATTGATGTATAAAAATCAGGACAGTATTTCAACTGACAATTACAAAGCTATTTTAAGGTTGTCTGCATTTATTTAATTGTTAGAAGTGAACACTAAGTAGGCGAATGGATGGCTTTGAAGGATTTGGGTTAACGTTTAGATCTACTCTATTGTGTGTGTTTCTGCAGCCGAGCGTCAGTCATCCACCAGCTTTTGACGCCTTTTTTTTTTGCTTTATCTGCTCCTGGTGCAGAAAGATACCTTCCTCAGCTTCACAGGATGTTCTCAAGTTAAGAAATAATTGCTGCTCAGGATTAAACCCTTAGCACGCTATACAGTCTCCCTTGTCCACGCATTGGAGAGACTGCTCTAGTTTCTGCAGCCATTAAATATCCAGTATGTGTGCACTTGTATGTATTTCTACCGAACGCAGAAATCCTTATCTGGGGACATTAAACTCCAGAATATAAAAGTGGTCTTGAAATTCGCGTGGGTTAGAAGCAGATAGGTTTGTAAAGTGAGAGCGATATCTGGAAGAAAGGGGATTACAATTCTAGGCCTTCGCTGTGGTTTTTCAGGGCAAGAACCATGATAGGTAAACTTTATCTATGTAGTTAACTTCCACCCAGGATAATGAAACCCGGGTTTCTATCCCAAGCTGCATGGAAATCACGTCGATACATGTTTCAAGCATATAGTCACCAAATTAGAGGGGAAAAAAAACATGATTTAAATCTGATTGACAACCTAAGATTCAGCTGTGCTCGACGATGTCGTAATCGGTTTGATTTATTTTCTTTGTATCCCAAGTCTACTTAAAACATTTCACACTGAATATAAGGAAATTCTGTTCGCTTGTTCTTATGTGTAACCTGAATATCCCTCCCGTAATGATATTTTCCCAACAAATGTGTTCTTTTTTAAAACATACTTTATAAAGTTATATATATATATATATATACCTATATATGTGCCTATAATTGCTGCGTTTGCTGTAGAAAAATCTCTTGTTGTTTATGAACTGGTTGTGTTTTGTCACCAAAAAAAATTATTGTCAACAACCATTTGATAGCGTGTGTAGCATTTTATGTTTGAAGATTATCATAATTATACTGAGTCCAGATTTAAAAATAATGCATCTAATAATAACGTGCGGTGGGTATTTGTCACCTAGTGTGAGCAATTATTTCTCTTGTGTAGAATGGTGAAAACATAATAAATCTCAACGCATTATAGTTATCGACTCTTGTTGTAGCATTTCAGCTCTGTTACTCAACCTGCAATAGGGATTGTATCCTGATAACTCGTATTGTGGATTATTTCCTGAAGCTTAAAAAAATAGAGTTAGTGAGGAAGGGTTGTTTAAAGTTGGTAAGCAGATATATGAGATTCTTCAGGTTATCAAGTAAACGATGAAGGGTCAGATGGGTCTGTACACAATACAAATTGGTAGTGTGTGTGTGTGGCTTTTGGGAATTGTCTACACTATTCCATCTAGAGGTATATTGTCTTATTGCGACAACATGCGGTAGTGAGACAGACGTTTTTAATTTTTCCAATGTTGGCAGAAGACTTTGCATTTCGGCTTCCTGTTACGAAATGTATGACGGTTTTATTTTGCGAATACTCTCGTGAACTCGTCTGGAAGGAGGGGAGCAACTATTAATTTCATCTTGTAGTGTTTAATTCAGCGGTTAAGTCAAACGTGAGGAGGGAAATCGGAGTTAACCTGCATTTGGTTTCTGTCCGCAGTGGGGTTTGTTTTAAGAACCACTGTTTGCGAGTAAAAGTTTAGACTGAAAGCTGCGAGATGTGCCCTGTGCTAAAGAAAAGAGTGGACTGAACAAAGCAGCGACTGTTTAAAGGAACTGTAGCATTTGGAATACTTATTGATCATATAGTTTATACGTGTGGCGATTGGAACACGCACTGTCGTCTCCCACTGCAAATATCACCGGTTTAAAATCCTCCTTCAANTTTTTTTTAGGGTTTAACAAAATCCATTCGCAAGATGGTGAATATTAACTGTCCAAGTAATTCCATCTGAGGGCCATAAGTGTGCAATCCACGTTTGCCCTCTCTATTGACTCCCATTCTGGTGCGGTTGGCTTCCATTTACTGTTAAAACCTTGTAAGCACTGACGGCGTGTTTTTTGGGGGGTCGATATCCCAAACTCTCTGCTCTTTAAGGCAATCAGCTTTCAAGGGGCACCAGGACCCGAACACACAGCACACATTTCGGAAAATATTCTCGCATAACTTTGCTCACAGTATCAGCCCTCCCATCGATTAGGGTCTCGAGCGGAAAAGCCGCATTGCTCACACATGTGTTGGTACATGTGCTGCACCGAATCATGTCAGCGACGCATTGAAAGATTATTGTCACGTTGCATTTCCTCCAAAATATGTTTTCTGGTTTGCTTTAGAATAAGACACTTGTCAGCTTTCCCCCAAACTTGCGTCAACGTTTTTGCCTCCTCATCAGAGAGGAGCACAATTTACACTCCCCCCCCCCCCCCCCCGCCCCCCCCCAGTATTTGTTTGTCACCCACTAAACCACCCGGACAATCCTCTGATAATTAAGCATCCGTTGGGTTTTCAGTCAGTAAGTGAGGATAATTTTGGAGTTACGATCTTCACTCCAGTTGCCCTTTCAGCTTCAACGTCACAGTATTTACCTGCACTTGGGGGCTAAACAGAGTTAATAGGATTTACACGTGTCTGTGAGGGAGAGGGAGAGAGAGAAGAGAATCGGTACAGGAGAATTATGATGCACATCAGCTTGTGACAAGCCTATGGCTGCGAGGTCGGCGTATAGATCTGCCCTAAACCATCCGAAAATCTTGGTGTGCATTTAATCTGGAGGAGCATTTGATGAAAGGCAGCGTAATTGTGTGGTATTGTACAATACGTTGCACTTGGGAGGGATAAAGTGGTGTGCACGTGAAGGGTCTTTGGGATGGATATTTAGTGTGACATGCATCCTTAGCTGTGGCGAGTGTCAAGTGATGTTGGCTGTCTGAGCTGCCTCAGTGTTAAGAATCCAGAGGGCGATCTGATCCCACCTCCGGACACGCACATTGTAATTATTTTCGCTCTCTTCGAAAACAACGAAAGCGCACGACAGAGGGTTTGCGTAAACCACATTATTATTATTATTATTATTATTATTTGAAGGATGTACCCATCTGTCAACTCGGGTATTGTTCCGATCCGAAAACAAACAAACAAACAAACAAACAAACAAAAAAAGCTTCTGAGAGGGACAAATAAGAGATAGCAATAATCCTTGCATGTGAGGTGGTAAATGTAGAGACTCGCATCTTTACACCTGTGCCAAGGAGCAGGTTTGTAACCGTTTATATAAAAATATATATATATATATAATATATCGGTCAAGCATATTTGGATATTTGAAACAGAAGGCTATTGATTTCATCCTCATGTCTCGTTGCCACATCGGGTTTCTTTTTGTGACAAGTCGGTGTGTGTGAGTGAGTGAGTGTGTGTGTGTAAGTGTGTGTGTGTGCCAATGAGTGTGTGTGTGTGTGTGTG